ATGGTTGTGGATATTTTTTGGATGATTTTATTGTGTTGGATGTTAACTACAGTAATGTTAATATTTGTTATTCCTTATTCACATCTACTAACTCTTATAATAATGATGTGAATATATGGCTTGCTCGACTTGGTCATATAGGCCAATAACGAATGAATAGATTAGCCAAAGAGGGCTTATTGGGCAATATTGCTTATTTGCGAGCATTGCCTAGAGGAAAAAACAACACGGAAACCATTTGGAAAAGGAACAAGAGTTGAATTTCATTTGTAATTAATCTATTCTGACATCTGTGGTCCAATGTATGTAAGAGCAAGGCATGGGGCAATATATTTCATCACGTTTATAAACGATTATACTCTATTCGGATATGTCTATTTGATTTCTCATAAATATGAGGCATTAAGTTGCTTTAAGAAATTTATGAGCTTGGTAGAAAACCAATTAGACAAGAACATAAAAGCATCAAGATCCGATTGAGGTCAAGAATATTTATATGATGAGTTTAGAAATTTATGTGATGAAAAAGGAATAGAAAGACATTTGCTATTCCATACGCTCCTCAACAAAATAGTGTTGCAGAGAGGAGAAACAGAACCCTACTAGAAATGGTTAGGTCTATGATGGCATAAGCTAACTTACCAATCACTTTTTTTGGGTGATGCTTTGTTAACTACTGCCTATATACTTAACCTGTGCCTTCTAAATCAGTTACTTCTACTCAATATGAGTTATGAATAGCTAGAAAGCCCGATTTAAGTTTTCTTAAACCTTGGGGATGTGCTACCTATACTCACGAACCCTCCCACTCATGGAAAATTGGGTCCAAGAAGCAAAAAGAGTATTTTTATAAGATACTCGGAGCACTCAAAAGGATATGTGTTTATAGGTGAGCAAGAAAGTGGAAGTGTAACTGAAATTGAGTCATGAGATGTCACATTCTTAGAAAATGAATTTTCAAATAAAGGCGAAATAGGTGAGGATTATTCTCTATTTGAAACCTTGGATCTTGATAATGAAATTAATGGAGTTTGTCTAAGTGGGAGCAATGTGAGAGGTGGAGAATTAAATTCGAACCAGTCTCAATTACAACCATCTAATGAGACGATATCATCATTAGCTAATCCAAGTGGCAGCGTAATAGAGCATGATGTATCAAGTGTACAATCTCACATACGATGAACAAGTCGCAAAAGCATTCCCCGTCGACGTTTTGACATTGAAGGGGAAGCTTTCATAGTTGTCCCACAAGAAGAGAATGAGCCGAGGAATGCTAATAAGGCTCTCACGTGCCCTAATAAGAAAAACTGGATGCAAGCAATGGAAGAAGAAATGGAGTCAATGAAATCAAATCAAGTTTTAGAATTGGTTGATCTTCCAGGAGAGCGCAAAGTCATTGGGAACAAGTGGGTTTTCAAAATAAAGCGTAAAGTTGATGGCTCAATTGAAAGGTATAAGGCCCACCTTGTGGCAAAAGGGTATAATCAAAAGGAAGGAATTGATTATGAAGAAACCTTTTCTCCTTTAGTGAGATTTACTTCAATTCACCTTATTCTGGAAATAGTGGCAAGTATGGATCTTGAATTATATCAAATGGATGTAAAGACTGCTTTTTTCAATGGAGAATTAGAAGAATAAATTTATATGGAACAACTAATTGGTTTCATTACAAAAGGCCAAGAACAAAAGGTATGTCAACTTTTAAGATCGATATATGGCCTTAAACGGTCTCCGAGACGATAGTATGTACATTTTCATAATGCCATAATGGCATATGATTTTGATATGATCGATGAAGATCATTGTGTATATATCAAAAGATCCAAAGATCAATTTGTTATCCAAAGATCAATTTCTTATCACTAATTGCCGGAAACAATATAGAGTTTGTTAATACTGTTAAGAATTGGTCATCTTCCAATTTTGAAATGAAGGATATGGGAGAAGCTGCATATATTCTTAGAGTTAAGATTTCAAGGGATCGTTCAAAGAGATCATTGTCTCTTTCGCAAGAGACGTATATAAACAAAATTCTTGAACGATTTCGTATGCAAGATTGCAAATCCATAGATACTCCTATTGCAAAAGGTGAAGGATTGAGCCATAGACTATATCCTAAGACTCCACAAGAACAGGAACAAATAAAACGTGTTCTTAATGCTAGTGCTGTTGGAAGCTTAATGTATGCTATGATGTGTACAAGATCTGACATATGTTTTGCCATTGAAATGGTAAGTAGATATCAATCCAATCTAGGTCAAGCACATTAGACAGCCGTCAAAAAAATCTTGAGGTATCTAAAGGGTACTGCTGATTATTCATTGAATTATTAAAGAAAGGATCGGCGGCTTGAAAGCTATTCAGATGCTGACTAGGGAGGAGATTTAGATGAAAGGAAATCTACTTTTGGATTTATGTTCTTACTGAATAATGGTGCCATATCTTGGAGCAGTAAGAAACAGACTTGTATAGCCTTATCCACGATGGAAGCCGAATTCGTAGCACTATCAGCAGCAGTACATGAGGATGTTTAGCTTAAGAGATTTTTGGATCACTTAGGTGTTGCTGAGAATTCTGCAAACTCATTGTTGGTTAATTGTGATAGCCAAGCAACGATAGCTTACACCAAGGATCCCAAATTTCATTGCAAGACCAAACATATAGATACCAAGTATAATTTTGTTAAGCATATGATTGCACGAAGAGATATGAACGTTCAGTACATATCTAAGCAAAGCATGATGGCAGATCCTATGACGAAGCCAATCCTTAGAAATGCTTTCCTTTGTCATGTAAAATCTCTAGAACTGTGTAGAGGTTGATGTACTAGACATTGTATTTCCCTAGAAGTTTACATTCAATGCTATTTTTTTATCACTATTAATGCCTATGAATTTTATTTGACATTTATGCATATGTTTAGTGCATTATATTAAGAAAGGTATGTCAAACAGATGAGAGATTAGCCCACTCACACAGGTAATCGCTTCTACTTACTATGTGATGAATAGAAATGAGTTAGTTTTAAGTTTGTTATCTAGGTGATAATTGAGAGCTCAACCTTGAAGCATGGACGTCACCTTAACAGAATGTTAAGATGAGGACATATAGATTATCATATCCAAAAGTGAAATGACCCACATATATCGTTTTACCTGTCTTTAATGCCAAATGTGAGTTCTGATGGATGCTTATGAATAAAGTAGATTTGTGAACTTCAGTTAGACATTGGTATGTCTAAACTATCATCTATACAGTATTGAAAGTAAAGTCATACGCTCTATGAGAAAGGAGAGAATACCGTAATACGTATTTCATACTACGTATGCATAAGACGACCAACAAGAATTGGCAAAAGTTTTGATCTCTACTTTTATGCCATGTGAGATTCTTGAGGATAACAGTTCCTTAATCAAGTGCCCTCACGACTCTTATTTATTCTCAAAATTTCTATTTAATGTTTGCTATCTTAGGATGCTGCCAATGATCATAATAATTCGGTCTAACAGGGCATTTCTAGAAAAGTGAGCTAGACTGAAATGAAGAGATTTAAAGAAAGAAGATCAATTTGTTTCTGATGTCACATTTTATTTTGTATTAACAGGTCGATCAATTATGATTTTTGAGTAAATCATAATTGTGAATACAATATACGAGATACTTAAAGAGATCAAGAATGATATAAATGTGACTGATTGATCTAGAGTACAACATACAAGATCTACTCTTAATGATTATGCCCAATTTGAACTGCTATATATTCCTAACAAATGTATGGCAACGAGCTTTCAAGGTATGTTGGTCGCACAGATTATTTGCTAGTATGAGCTTTGCAAAGAAGAGAGAGATAAGCTTAGCCCATCATGGGCAAGTGGGAAATGATGGCTATTGGGTAATATGTATGGACCACCCATGTTGGGCTAACCCAGCCCAAGTTCAAATGGCGGTTACTTAAGAATTCAAAATAAAAGATAAAAGATTATCTAAAAAAAGAAGAGAAGTAATAGCGGTTATCAACAAGATAACAAAAAGGAAGATTACCTCCGTTCCTTCAACGCTTCTTCTCTCACGCAACGAAAAACCGTGACTTCCAAGGAACATCTCTCTCAAGGCTGCTACAAGAGGGCACTTAATGTGTGGATATCAATGTACGTTCGTGATTATAATGTATCAGTTTTTCATCAGTGATAGAACATCGTTTCTTGGGCACGTATTGCTAGTTGAATACGTTTCTCGTATTTAGAATTCAGAATTTATTTTCTGATAGTGATTTACGACATTGGTATATTTCTAATAGGGAGCTCCAATGCTCAACTTTCCACTGATTTTTACTCAAAAACGTGTCCCAACATCTTCCCCACGGTCAAATCCCAAGTGCAATCCGCCATCAACAAGGATCCCGAAATGGGTCTCTCTCTCCTCCGCATGTTCTTCCACGATTGCTTTGTTAATGTAACCAAATAGGCTACCTTTGACTTATCTTTCTTTCCGTTGTCTTCACACGTGTCCTACAAATTTATTTCTTGTCTTGCTGCTATTGCCACAGGGCTACGACAGATCAGTTCTTCTCGAAGACACGTCGACATTCACCAGAGAAAGGAACGCGGCTCCGAACCGAAACTTCGCCAGAGGATTCGATGTCGTAGACAACATCAAGTCCGCTGTGGAGAACGTGTGCCCCGGCGTTGTTTCCTGCGCAGACTTGTTGGCCGTCACTGCTCGAGACCCTGTCGTGGTCGTAAGCCCTCCCATCCCTCCATAAAATCACTACTACATACAAGTACTAATCACGAATATGCCATAGCTAATGTATATTCTAGAATCTAACTAAGATTGTGTCAAAATTTGCAGCTTGGAGGGCCAAGCTGGAATGTGAAACTCGGGAGGAGAGACGCAAGAACCGCAAGCCAAGCAGCTGCTAACAATAGCATTCCTCCTCCTACCTCGAACCTCAACAACCTCATCTCCATATTCCAGAATGTCCACTAGAGACATGGTGGCTTTATCAGGTATGTACACTCATAAAAAAACATTTTCTTTACTTTGATTGTACCTGGAGAAAAAAAGATACTAAATCACCAAATCCGTAAAAACAGGTTCACATACGATAGGACAAGCAATGTGCACGAACTTCAGAACCAGGATCTACAATGAGACTAACCTGGACCCTTCCTTCGCCCAGACAAGGCAGAACAACTGCCCGAGCATAGCTGGCTCAGGGGACAACAATGTGGCGCCTCTCGACTTGCAGTCTCGCACCATGTTCGACAACAATTACTACAAGAACCTCCTCCAGAACAAGGCTTGCTTCACTCCGACCAGCAGCTCTTCAATGGCGGTTCCACCGACTCGCTCGTGAGGATTTATGCCAGCAGCCCGAGCACCTTCAGCTCCAACTTCGCCGGGGCCATGATCAAGATGGGCGACATCAAGCCCCTCACCGAATCAAATGGTGAAATCAAGAAGAATTGTAGGAAGATCAACTAAGACTTTATTTATCATCATTTTCTGGGAATAAAAGTTGCTTGTTGCTTACATGCCTGATTTCACCGGTGACTCAAGAAAATAGTTTGGTCCGATCGCACTGTCTAGCACATATTCGGGGCATAACAAAGGGTGTTGGATATAATTTTCAGAACCATTGAGAGAACTAAGAAGGTTCATGTACGCGCACGTACATTTTCACAGGCAAAGTAAAATAATGGGAACAAACATAAAAACACCTGCATCTGTAATTTAGAAAATTATGCTTTGCTGATCATATTCATGACCAAGGTTGGTCGACTGTCATTACTCTTAAGTGATAGTGACTTAAACAATTCAAAAGAAAATTTAAGATTACTAAGCTGTTTATGAATTTTATTACATTGCATTATATTCATGACGAAAAATTTTGAAAATTCGTCAGTTTAAATCACTTATATTTGCATAAATATTTAACAATTTTTTGAAAGATTATAATAACTATTAAGAGTTTCTCGCTCGGAAGGAGAGATCACTTCTCCATCAGACACATCTTGTTAGGTTGCTCGCATGAGTACTGAAATCATGAATTTGTATTCCCTCATGACAGATCAAGAGCAGTCGATTAGGTCACGGGACAATCAAGATTTATTACTTGTGTACAGGCACAAGTTATCTGTATGTTTTGTCTGTGTAAAGTACAATGTAGAAGTGTACGTCTATGTAGCGATGGCCGCCTGTACTCGCCTGCAGTGCCTTCCTGCTCACTTGAAAAGTCGGGTTATCGGGTGATGCGGAAGATGTCTTCGACCTTCCTCGTGTTGGCATTCACATACTGCAGGCAAGATGTACATTGAAGTTAAACGAGCACGTATGCATGATCGTCGTGAATGCAGTAACATCTAGCTGCTTGATGTTCCAAACTCTACTTGCAGCGCAGGACATCAGAAACTGTACATAGTTTCTAATTTTACAGCATCACAAGAGACCAGAACAATTTCTCAATAAATGGAGTCATGTGTAATCAAATAAGCAGTCATAAAGCCAAAAGGAACGATGATTGTTGGGAGGGCGACAGGAAAATTCGAGAGTGCTATGCAGTATGCAACTTTCCAGAACGGGTTACTGCTGACCTCTAGTTGTAACTCTTCTGGAGTTGCATGACCTCTGAAATAGCCGAATTTGGAAATCCTTATCAAACTCCAGTCACTTGGCTGTGAAAAAATCAACGTGTACAAATCTTATTCATGGAAGCAACAAAATTAATAATCCCCATGTAACCGTATAGATTTGAGTCTAATGATATGAGCAGCAGAATCAGCATAGAAAGTTTAATTTGTTAAGAGCAAGCTAAAAATCCCTGGAATCTGGATATTTCAAGGCCCATAAATCAGAGAGGTGTCGTTAAGATGGCATGGTTTGGCTAAGCAGCATTCAGCCAATGTAAATGCAGGAAATGAAATTGGGATTAAGCACTGACGAATTCTAGGACAGATTTTCAGAAATTGCCAAAGAATTGTGCAGATTTGGACAAAAAGCTATATTGGTTTACTATCTACAACGGGTGTGAGGGAGAACAGACTCTAACCTCATCTAAGAAGTCATCCAGACTGAACCCGGCCATACCAATAACCACTTGCACAGGTGCGCTATAATTTCTGTGATCATAAGTATCAATCCCGCTTTGATCTTTCTTTGGCATGGCTTTACACTGATTTTGGTAAACCGAGCATGTTCTTTCATAGTTATGAACATGGCCAAACAGAACTAGATCAACCTGTGATATCAAATGCTCGATGAGTACAATTTCACAGGTCAACGAATTATTTAACATGAGAACCAAAGTAAGAAGTAGAAGGTTGCCTTGTTGTCCAATAGCAACGGCTCTACAGCTTCAAGAAAGCTTTGGTCAGCACCTCCTCCGGAATCAGAAGTGTACATCGGCCTGTGCCTACAAGAGGCAACCGTTACACTCGATCTCTGTTGTCTTGAGATTTTTTTAGTTTGAGAGTATGCAATTGGTGAAACTCACGATCACCGAGAAGCAAATGTACTTACCCCATGAAAACTAACCAAGGAGTTTTAGATCGGTCGACTGAAGCCATGTCCCCTTTCATCCATTGATACTGACAATATGACATTCCCATGACATAAAAATGACAGCTCATCGACATGAAAATGTGATACCTAAGTGGTTCAACTCGATCCTTACCTGCTCTGAATTTTCAGACCAGTCGTGTTCGGTTGAAATCACAGTGAAATGAACACTGGCTTGTTCTATGGAATACCATGGCTTGTCCTTCGCTGGGGTTGGCATAGGGAAGTATGTCTCATAAGCAATGCCACATTCCCCACCTGAGTCCGGAGTCAAGTACACTGATCCTGAGCTCCCATAATCTCTTCATGTAAAAGAAAATTAGACATCATCTTTGACTCATGCTGCTAAGTATGTTGGTTTAGCTGTTTATTGAGTCTTTTATAATGTGCAGGAAGAGATGCATGCCGACCTGAGATAGTTACCTTTCGTGGTTCCCAATTGCAGTCATGTAGGAAACTCGGGAGGCAAAAGGGCTGATGAGGTGGAGGAAGAAATCCCACTCCACTAAGAAGCCTGTGGCATAGCTTATGTCTCCGATATGGAAGATGGCATCCACATTGCCTGAGTCTACATCATCCAACACTGCCTTTGCCACCGAGACTGATCCTGGCTATAGAATCGTATAAAGTCGCATTTTAGGATACCTTCATAATCAGGAATTTGAATTCTTACAAATAGCTTAGTTTGTGCCACTTCAGTTAATTCAGATAAATGTGACGAGCTAATAATGTTTCATGGAGAGCCGGTTTTCAAGATGATACTCCACCCAAATCGTGGCATATTTTGTCCCTTCCATCAGCATTTAAAGGATACACCTTCATATTAGTGTATATCCAGTTTGGATAGCATCTTTTGAGTGTTGCTTTCAGAAATGCGAGTTTTCATTCTATGGAATACATGTTTACCTGAATGTAGTGCTCGACTGAATCATCCAGAGGGGCTTTTCCCATATCCCCAAATGCAAGAAATTTGAGTTCATTTGATCCTCCTGCCGGGGGTGTCCTGAACTGAACTTGTTCACTCCAACCAGCTGAATCACTGGACGTCATAAAAGCATTACCAAAATAAATTGGATGAGCCAGCAAATGGTATAAAAGTTTCTCATCAATTCAATTTCCAATCATCTAATTGATGTCAGAGAAAAGTAGATCACTCCATCTATTTACAGAAACTCATTTGCAGTGTCTTAGAATGTATTACTCCAATGTCATGATAACAGGATGCTCCTTTCTATGAAAGCCGTGTATCCGATCCTCTCTCGATCAGACATGCAGCTATAATACATCTTTAAGGACTAAGGCATATAGAAGTATTTGCTGTCCTCCGTCACCTACCTAATGTAGTTGATTCATAGACAATTATTGTAAGGAACAAGTCCATTGCATATCAATTCATTCACATTCACTGCAGATTAGATGACCCTGCATCAAGTAGAAGTGCCATAGATATTGAACTATGCTCAGCAAGAATACCTCAAGCTGATCTGAAACCGATCAGTCTCGTAAACAACACATTCCAGTCAGAAGATTCTACCTTCCGTATTTGTAAGAATAAGAGGTAGAAGACTGCAGTCCCGTCATCACGGCTGAATGAATGTAACCGGGGTCATGCCAACCGAAATCTTTGGCAGGACTAGGTAGCACATTACCTGTCGAAAAATGACCAAAAAAACTATATTCAGTGAAGAATGAGTTTTTATGAGGCCTTCGATTTTTTTGCGTGTGACAAGGAAGTCCTAGTGCATTTACAGATTTCCCTAGGAAGGGTTTGAGGTTAACTCACTGCACATATCATCTTGTGAAAATGTACTAACTTCGGAAGTTTGTGATTTCCCATCTCCATATTGCACCTCTTGGGGTTCCTTGTCTCCACTAACCCATGTAATCCTCATCTGCAGATTAAAGCATGTCTGATTACCATTCACAGTCTGCATTGCTATCGAGTGTCTTACGTAAAGAGTTATCCCACACTCAGGCCAGTGTGTCATGGAGGCATGGTACCGCGACTTCATGGGCTAATGATAAAATTGACATTTTTCATGACATCCATAGAGCCAAATGTTGGCAACACGACCCACGCAAACTCGACACCACAGTTGGTGGCAAATTGAGTGCCTACCGAGGTCCCGGTCGAGTCAATGCTGGAGAGATGGCCATAGAGCGGTTGGTTCGGGTTCGCAAAAGTCAAAGAGTTTGATCTCTTCAACACACATGGTGTTGCAAACCCTCCAGCAAACAGCACAAACTCGATGTCGGTTCTGATGTTTACAACGTGAAACGTCAAGGTGCCGCCACATGTGGTCACGGCACATTTACCATCCTTGTACTCCTTGCATTCCTTCTTCTTGCAGCTCAGATAGTCCGGATCATTGCTCACGTATTGTGCCTGAGAATGATGCATATAAGCATGCAGCAAAGAGTTGAAGTGGAAACATTTCTCCTAATCTCAAACTAATTAGACAACTAATGGTAGGTATGCTAGAAGATCTACGGAATTTGGCACATGACAACAACATAAAGAAAAAGATGTAGGTAAAATACCAATTGTCACCATAAATAAAAATCTAAAGCATTTTGATAAAAAGGGCATGCTTCAATATTCGATATAACCGCGCTACATACATCATTTTATACATACCAAAAATACAAAAAAAAATTAAAACCTTCTTAATATCTAGCATTACTCAAATTAAAGTTACTTATGGAATGTATCCATTTGAATAATAAAAAACCAACTCCGAGAAGTATCTTCGTTATTTTCCTGTATTCAACAAAGTTCAGTGTTCTCATGGTCAATGGAAAATGTACATACTTAAATTCCGTAAAAAAGTTACCTAAATTACTGAAGGACAGTTTTATAAGTCAATTACTTATTTACTAAATGAAAATAACAATGATAAAAGAATTCGATAAAGAACTTTGCAAAATATCTGAACCAGAACCGAATCGACTTTATTGATTGAAACTTTAGCAGATTACGGAACAAAAGACTCTTTTGATTCTCTCTTTTGAACCCAAAAAAGAGACACTTTGACAAAAATAAAAAAAATAAAAATAAAACGGACTCCTATTTTTTCTCCGCTTCTTTTGGTGGATGAAGACTTGACGAGAATATTTCAAACCTTAAAAGCAACTACAACCATTAAAATATTAAATTGATTTTATTAAATTAAATCAGTCGCAATAAGAGAAAACGCAACGTACATGAAATATTTCTAAAAATAACACGAATTTCACATATTTTTCGCATTTTAATTGATTCCGTCTACCACCATAAGAAAAATCATCAAACGAGGCTTTTATATATATATATGGTTTTTGGTAACTGGACATGTCCCCAACCAAATGAAATATGACATTGTTACGTGAACGCTATGGACTCCATGACGTGACTTTGTTGGTGGATCATGAGTGGAGTTAGGCATGTGCCCTGTGATTTGTTTTTCAATTGCTTTTCTGTTCAGCCCCTGTTGATTCCACTATTTTCTCTAGAGCCCCTCGCTATTTTATGTTTCTAATACTCTTATTCATCAAGAAGAAGATAGATAGATAAGCCATCAACGAGGAATGATACAAGGGTAGATAAATTACCTTGACAGGATAATGGCATAGAAGAGGAAGATCACTAAGATCACCGGTCTCTACATACAGAGCCTTGTTCAGTGGACAATCCGAGACGCTGCAACCCAAAAGAAAACACAAGGAGAAGAAGGAACTTGAATGAGTAACCATTCACGCGTACTGATATGTTTCAAAGAACTAGATATCGGGATGATTCGTACTCGGCGTCCGATGGGGAAATCATGGCGACCCAGTCGGAGTCTGCTGGAACCAGGACCCCGGTTACGTTAACCGTGAGATACTCCTCATTCCCGACGGCGGTGTTGCCACTGACATTGATTTGGAGATACGGGTTCGGGTCGCTGCACTGGAGAATTCGCCTTCTGTTCAGCAACCGGAACTCAGATATGGCGGTGTAGTTGAGATGCTCGAGCGCGGAGTCAACCACCAACGGGTGCAAGTTCGACGGTGACAACGACGACGAGGACGAACAAGAAAAAGAAGAAAAGCAAGTGAAAAGTATGATGGAAATAGAAAAGATTGCGAGTTGTGTGGGAATGTGGAGCTCCATATTGGAGAAGCAAAATGCTTTGGATGGATGAAACCGAAGGCTTTCTTTGTATACTCACAAGAAAGAGAGGTGTGATTCAGTATAAAGCGAGAGAGAGAGAGAGAGAGAGAGAGGGAATGCGTTTGAAGGACCGAGGCGTGAGTTGGATGTTTAGGATCCAATACCTATGGATGTACATTAACTATATATATGGTTTTTATGGAGGAGGAGGGTATTATCTACCTTAAAGAATAAAAAAACAATGAAGAGGGTACTATGTTTCTTGACGTTAACATACGCTGAGTTGCTGATACTCCAGATGCTGCTAGCTGTCTGTTACCCTTGTCATGTTTCTTGTCGATCTTGTGCTGCACATCTTCATACACATACAATAAACATCTACGCAAAACCAGATAACGACCTGACGGGCTTTGCAAAAGGTTCATCTCCCATTCGAGATCGTTTCCACTAGGAGTGAGTTTAGTTGCTCCCAAAAGTTCAGTTCAGAGGTCAGATTTATTTTAGCTTCGTCCAATGTGAACTGGATCTGCTTCCAGTAGCAACCTATTGATGATGAGTTTGCCCTCGTGGTCGATGTTTTGCGCGTTGGGATGGTGTCAAAGTCAAATAACATGATGAGGGTTAGTATGAATGCACGAGCGGCCTGCAGTAAATGCAGTTGGCCGCATAATAAGAAATGGATATTTCCCTTTAGATGCTCTTGGAAATATGGGTGCCGGTTCAATTTTAATTAAGGAATAAGAGAACGATGGAAAGAGGATATTCTCTTGAAAGCGATACATCAGTTATATTATTTGCTGTTCAAAGTGTGACATCTATTTAATACGTGTTCAACTAGGCGATTTCGGCTGCCGCCAATACCGTTTATTCGTGCAAACCTGCTGTCACATTCCTCATCACCAATAGGTCCCCATCAGACTCGGGCTTGCTCTAGTAGACAATGTTGTAATAGGCTACTCCGAATTGTGGATACAACGGGTGTTTTGGCTTGCTATATTTCAATCTGCCACATATTGATTTTGCAAGATTCCATGAGTTGAATTGGTAATGAAATTAGAATAACTCTTGATTAGGAAAACTTACATTTGTGGTCATCGTATCAGCTTTCATTCGCTTTGCCCTATGGGTGCTTGCAAAATACTATGTGAGTTATTTTATATACGATTGTTCCTTTAGTCGCGGCGCTTAAGAGTAAGGCTATAACTCTACGGTAGCCGATTGGCTTCCTAACTTGAGAGGGGATGCACGTACGTACCTGAAAATGTTGGTAATGAGCAGAAGTGCGTGTAGGTTGAGCTGTTGATCATTTTGATTGCATTAAAAAACCAAGCAGTTTTGTTCTCATTGAGAGGTTTTATAAAATTATTCAATACCAGCAGCCAGAAATCAGTAAATTATTGATTGTCGGCCTTTTTCTTGTAAAAACTTGCGTAAGCCTGGCAGGGATGGACCATGAGTCTATTTATGTACTTCTTACTTTAGCAAACCTCGTCCTCGGGATTGTGACAAATGTGGCTCCTGGGAACATTATCCTCAGTATATGAATCTGCGATGTGGAATACTGATAACCCGAGAAATCAGCTACAACTTTCAGAATACTCATCACGTCATTGCACTGGCCCAGAATCTTCATGTGACTTCAAGCATCCATTGAAAAAAGTGCAACTGTTTATCATCCTAAAATTCTACTGTGACAAAGAAAATTCTAAGCAAGAAGTGCTTCCCGATTCTCTATATATAATAACTCCAGAGAGGTAGGTAAGAACAATAACCCAGGTGGAAATAACAACTTGGATGATTAATCTACATTAAAACTCCAAAATAAGAAAAGGGGAAAAGAGAAACAAAAAGGTAACCCTACAATCTTCAGAGACTATATTCCTCTCTGGACAGCAATAAAAAGCACAACAAAAATGGGTGAGAGAAGAAAGACTATGTAGGGAAAGGCTTGAGAGAGTGCACCTTCTTCGACTTCTTCATCCTTGTCAAGTGGATAGTTGCTTTTGTCTTCAATGAAGGCCTCGAAGTAGTTTTGGTAGCCTATGCTCTCTGCAGAGAGCTTTGAGCTTCTTACCTTCATCATCTCCATGGCCTGAAGAGTATTGGCATCACAACCATCATTTTAGATGCTCTTTAGCTAGAAATGGCCTACAAATTCACCGATATACTTTACGCCTTCTTTGACATGACATCTACAATTACCTGGAAGCTGAACATGAATTGCATGGCTCTCTTGTTGACTTTAGCATTTGGATGAGATTGAAGCTTCTCGTACATCATACGAGCCTCATTTGATCTGCCAATCATGTCAATCACATCATTATTTTCAAGCATGGGACAGAAAGGAATGCAAAGCGTCTAGGCATACTCTGGCAATGGAGAGGGGATGCAAGAATGGAGAAGGGAGTCACAGAAGCAACTCTAATTCCCAGAGGTCCAAAAATTACCCTGCCTGATCTTCATTTATTTTTTATTGTTAGGAGTTCCATCACCTATGAAAACATTTAATTACCTGGCAAGTGAATCCTGGCAGATGGACCACTGCAATGCAGCTAATCCATGAAGTTCACTCTGCACATACAAATTATTAGGGGATCAAACTATGAAATGAAACATAATGGGCGCACAACCATTGCACCGAAGCACAAGTAACAATTGGCCTCAAACAAAAAACCTCTTTTACACCTTTGGCAGGGTTACCTCAAATGGCAGCTTACTCATGATCTCTTCATAAAATGGTAAAGCTTCCTTAAGTTTTCCAACATCCATCAGAGAGTCACCATCCTTCAGAGCCTTCAACAGCGAACAATTCAGTGACTTTAAATCTACAGTAAAAATAGTCATGTAAATCTCTACAAAAAGGCAGAGAAAGAATAACAATAGGACAAAGGGCTAGGTCTATCCTACAAAAGTATCAGTTATACCCACATCGCACATAATTTACTAGGAAGGTACCTTCTCACACTCAGCTTTCAACTTTGCATCAATATTTAAGCCCGTTTTTCTCTTGTAAGCAGCAACAAGTTCTCTAGTGCGTGCATCTTTAGCAGCCCTATCTTCAGCTGTTTCCAGCACATCCCCTGGGCGAATGGTCCTTCCACCTCCAAACTGAACGATAAAAAGAACAACGAAAGAAAGCTTAGCCTGACATTTGATTCATTGGAAGACACCAGAGAGAGAACACAGAAAATTACAGATCCATGATACATAAGTTTTCTCATTTGTATGTACAGAAATCAGAGGTTCTTCTTCAACCATTCCTCAAAAATTCAGCTAGCTTAAACATATAAACACCAGACTAGCTCATAATCATACATTCAAAAAGAAAAACCAACCACTGCCCCCTCCTCCCCCCCCCCGGTCCCCTCCCTCAATTTATTTTCTGCAGTAATCTTCTATCGACCAACCAACTAGATGACAAGTCCAGTCAGAGCATATGAAAATTTCAGAGGGCCAAATATCCTAACAAAAGAAGCGACATTTCATATAATAAAATATCATCTTAATGGGAAAAAATTGAAAAATGCCAGTAGAACTTATGCTGAATTTATTTATCCAAATCTGGCAAAGTCTATCACCTCATTACAGTCAGTGATTCAACTTAACATGAAAGAGTAATAACAATTTGTTTTGCAAAAAAAAATTATGGAAATGCTGAAATTTATCACACGATAGGAACTTCATGTCCTATTTCTATGATAATACCCAGATCGAAGACAAGATAGGTAGGTGTGCCATCCCATTAGCATGCAATAGCAGGAACAAAACCATTTTTCATTCAAACTCTGTTATGCTTCAAGCCAAACTTGTAGGGATAATTGGAATGTAAACTGGTGCTGCCTTCGAGGAATGACTATCTTGGGGGGGAATTAATAAGCATGTGTAGCCATATATATATTGTCAAAATGTGTAGCCATATTTGTTCTGCTACTAAATTGCTCAAAAGCTTTACAAGAACAAACTGCACCAGCAGAAGAGGGAAAAGGAATCAACTTCGATATCAAATGAGAAATCTCTCAGTAACTAGCTTACTGTCTCGGATATGTTGTTTGGTCTTGGGAAGACACCCCAAGTCGAAACTTTGGGTTTGTAAAGATCCGAATTATCTTCTTGGGGTGGCGCGACCGCAGGATTCACCGCCGTCGCGTCATTGAATTTGGTGGTGTCCCCGAGAATGATTTCCACCTCAGGTACGTCTCCTTCTGGAAAAGGGTCACTCGCCGGAATCAAACCAGGCGGAAGTCCCCTGGTCCTTTTCTTGTCTGCAAAGTCGAGCCCCACAAAGTCGATGCCCGAAACCACCAGCTGCTGTTCCTTACTCGTTCTTTCCTCCAAATTTGCTTTACCAATTTTCCCTCCATTTCTACCTTTCAAGCCTAATTTCAACAAAACAGCCAACTCTCTCAGCTCCACAAAAACTGCAAAAGCAAGAACTTTACACATGGCAACCCACATCATCCCTCTGCAATATCAAGCGTTCAGCAAATGCAAGAAGATCGATCAGAACAATCCGCCCACAGTTTCGGCTGAAATCTTAACACTCTTTCCAATTCACATTCTTTGCTAATCTATTACAACAAGAGGAACAAAGCCGCCCTCCCATTGAACTCCGCACATCATCTCATCATCCACAGTCAAAATCAGCTAAAATCTAACCATCACTCACCTGAATCGGCGTCGCTTTCCAAGACATGCTCTTTCGCCTTGGCCATGGCGATTCTACCGGCATCGGCCGAACCGTCGCGACCGTAACTCTCATCGCTAGGGCTCCCGGCCACGGCCGCGCTCGCCTCGAGATCACCCTCCGGCTTCGAACGCAGCGACTTCCGGTACACCCTGGCTTTTTCGAAGGCGAGCTTGACGGGGTCCGCCGGAGCCGCGGGTTCGGAGGGCGGTTCGGAGCCGGGTGGATCCGGAGAGGAGGAGGACGAGGACGAGGAAGGAGGAGCGACCCTGAGCAAGAAGGGCTTCGGAAGACGAGATCGTTTCGGCGACTTGGGGAGGAGGAAGGTCGCCGGAGGGAGAGACGAGGGGTGATGGGAAGCCAAGGCCATCTTGGGGAGGTAGCGGAGGGAGTGGCGTAGTGACGACGGTTGTTGATGGCGAGAGGGGAAGCCTGAGACGACGGTGACGCCGTTACCGGATAGTATGATATCGTCTGTTTTTTTTTGAGGTGACGAATGGGCGGGTCGACCCGGCTCGGTCCGGCCCGTTTGTGGGAATTTCACTTTCACAACGGTCGATGACAAGGCAAAATTTCATTAAAAACATATAAATTTTTTCCCTAATGTCCCATCACAGTTTCGTCCATAATAGCTATTAAAATTTCAGAAAAATGACACAAACAGTCAATGAACTTTAACTTAATGTGTAATTTGATCCCTAAACTTTTGATCTGTTCAATATAGTCCCTGAACCCAATGTTCGATGTGGTCCTTAAACTTTCAATTTGTTCAATGTGATCCTTGAACTTTTGGTACTTGTTTAATATAGTCCCTGAACTTTACAAAAATATTCAATGTAGTCATTCTATTAATTTAAGTTCATGGACTATATTTTACATTTTCATATAATTCAGAGACTAAATTGAACATGTACTAAAAGTTCATGGACCATATTGAACAAATTAAAAGTTCATGAACCACATTGAAGATTAGGCTAAAGTTCAGAGATCAAATTGCACATTGAGCCAAAATTTAGGGACTGTTTGTGTCATTATCCCTAAAATTTCGGCTTAGCAATATATGTATGTGAATAGGGAAAAGTCTAATGTGAGGTATCTTTGAGTCGTGAGTACAGGTTTCAAATATTGGTGAGCGGAAAATAAATTTCCATATGGAAAAGTTTAAGATTTTTTGCCAAATCATCACCGACAGCAATAATTCCAAGCTTCTCTTAGCTCAATGAATCCAATTGCTGTTGTTTGTGAAAAAAATAATAATCGAATCATTCTTAATTTGGAAAGCTTGATGTTGGTCATAAATATAAAAACAAAGTTCTCCTGCCAAGATTTGTGCAAGACTAGTCCGAGACACCACTTGACCATACGAAAAAACAATAGCTCTTGACCATTTTTTTTTTTTCAGGAGGACAACTTTTTCGGCGAGTAAATTAATGAGACGTGAAGTTTGAAATATTATCAATTTCTCAGTAAAAAAACTATTAAATTCGAGATACTATTCAATAATAAAAAAATTTAAAAAAAAATTCAAACAATTGACTATTTAACAAGAGAGAACGATTTTTTTTTTTGGTCAAAAGAGAGAACGATTTTAAGGGTCATATCATCACCTCTTGGATATAATATCAAATAAAAAGGTCTGTCTTATTATTTTTTCCCGTTTTGGGTTTTGGCTTGCCTGGCTTTATTGGAGATTACCAAATCCAAATTGCTCAAGAATGTTCTTCACAGTGATGAATATAAGCCAGCAGTAGCACCAACAAAATCCCTCTTGTTGGCAATGCATAAGCAAGGGACACATGCTATAAAACCACATAACAAAACCTCAAGAACCAATCTTGCATGTCCTTTCCTTTCCCACATCTCTCTCTCTCTCTCTCTCCCTCTCCCTCTCCCTCTCTCTCTGAATGTGTTCTTATGTGATAGACTTTCAGTGTTCAATGAGCTCGACGCCACACGCAAGACACTCACCAGATCGACCAAGTTCATTGGGTGGCTACTTCAAGGCAATGTGAATACTTCTTTGCCTTCATCCAAGTTTATTGCTCTTATCTTCCACTCTTTGCTGAACTACATAGTCAGGCATTGATCGAAAGCTAATCAAAGTTGTCGACTTTGCAGCTACTACTATCTATTATGTGGATGGATGTTCGAATTGTTTGTGCAAAAGAAGACAAAAGCCATCAAGAAAAGACGGGCTGTTGCCAAGCCAAACTCCGCAGATTATTTTTTAGCGAAAACGGCGACCAAAATCACGATTTTTATTCAGTACTTTTGGTGTACTATCTATACTTCATTGGATGTAGTTCCATGTGATTGATCAATGAAGGAGTGCTTTCTATGGAACAAGTGCTTGTGCAAAGACAAACATCACAAAAATAGATAGTTGAGACACGCCAATTATGAAATAACAAGCATTGTCCACATAAAAAGTCCCGGTCGAAATTGCACAAAGCTCATAATTATTAATAAGTTCATAGGACAAAAGATCAATATGGGAAAATAGTTGGTTGATCATGTTGGTTGTTTGTTTGTAAAACAAACAAAATAGTGCATTTTCCTTTGTCTCACGTAAGAAAATTTTGAGAAGGTAGGCCACTTTATATGTGTAAGTGTCTTCTTCAATGTTAAAATGAAGACAATGGGTTGTGGACTAGACTTCTCAATACCCGCGTGTGGGTGTGTGATTATTAGGCGCACTTAGCACTTGACGCGCTTGCGGATGATGATTAGCACTAATCCTCGTTTATTACTTTTATTTATTAAATTTCGAATTTATTATTATAAAATAACGATTTTATCCTATTGAAACAGTGTGACTGTTCGCAATAGAGTTGCGGTTATTTTTTTATTAATTAATTTCGAAATTTATTATTTAGCCTAACGGTTATTGGGCGTTCTTACAACCTTTGGAAGAATTGTGTCCCTTCAGACATAACTACTTCACCTTTGGAAGGTTATGTCTTTTTGGACATAACTCCTTCAACGTTGAAAAGTTGTGTTTGTTCAAAGTTTATTTTTCAGAATTTATAAAATTCGGATTAATAAAAATGATTAAAAAAATATTATTCTTTTATTTTATTATTATTTTATTCGAATTTTAATATATCCTTTTTCAACGTGACTTTTGATTTCGTACCAATTCACTATACATCTTTTCGATGAAGGGACGCCTTTATTCGAAAGGCTGCGATTAGTGAATCAGTTTTTACATGGTTGAATATCAAGTCTCTTCATTCGGATTTTTTAGACACTTTTTCATTTCGAAAAACTGCAGCCATTCTTTCTAATTGTTTTCCTAGAGAGACCCTAGAGATATACCGAAATTGCTATTCGATATTCTCAATCGAGACTTTGTTGTATCCTGAAGGAAATTTGCCGGTGACCATTAGCAATTTCGTGAGGCAAATAATTCCTTAAAGAAAGTAATATCACGCCTCAAAGTCTCACTCCATTGTTCTACCCATTTTCGAAGTCAATTTTCCAGCAGATCACTCCTCCTTGCCCAGGAGAGTGAGCAAGAAGGCCTTGTAATCCCCTGAGGTGTCCTTGGTCAAGCGAGACACTGTTCCTCTTGTAATACTCCTCCTTGATCTCCTCCAGGTCCTTCTCCGCTCGAGTCACGATCACGCGGGTCAATGCATCCTCATCTGTCCCGGCCCTCTTGATTGCGTTGCGCAAGACCTGTGCTCGACACGGTCGGTTAATCTACCTAATTAATACCACATTGCATGTATTGCAATGTAACACAATTTGCTCGAACCTTTTCAAAGTACTTTTTGGGATCATTGAGGCATCAAACCGTCGTGCACAGGGCCATTGAGAACTCATCAGGATGTTCAGCCAGCATATTCTGAAACCAAACAATGTGAGAAAAATCGAATTCGAAACCCACCAGAAACACAAACACAATTGACAGTAATTTAAGTAGTAATTTAAGTAGTAACGTGAATTTTATTAATTTGGGCGGGTCTTTTGCAAAAGAATCGCTACGAAAGTTGCTACATAAGTCATATATGAACATGCTCAGTACCTTAGTGATGGAAGTGCCCTGGTCACCTTGGTAGCGGTTGAAAGTGGCCCTGAGTTGAGCCTTGCTCCTGGTGCTCAAGATTCTTATGACCTCTTCATGGGTGAAGACCTTATCTTTTATGGCATTGTGAAGAACATCGGCCTCCGAGTTCGCCAACCTCGCGTTGATCTCTTCTCCTTCGTACCTATACGCACTCACTAAACCAACCAAGAGCTGGATAACGAGAGCCAACATTAGATCATCTCTGAATTCACGTTCCAAATCGCAAGCAAAAGCATAAAAGTACTAGGTAAATTCTGGGCGGTGCATAAACAATAACTTCCTTGCCATTTTTTTCATCTAGACCTTATAAAGTCGAATTTGAATACCATAATGTGCAGACTATTGGTACCAAATTTTGTGCTCGCTTTATAACGTACCTGCCGGATGTCGCCGGTGGTATTTGCGGCAACATCTTCTTCCAAGGAGTGCTTGTAGCGAAGCTTGTAGGCCTTTCTCACCTCCAGAAGCTCCTCAGGGGAATGAATGCACGAAATCTCTATGAGCACATGGTAATCAGGACTCGCTTTCTTTAGAGCCACATTCGGTAACACGGAGTCCCGATCAGCCGGGTCCAGTATCCAACGGTACACAGCTTTCTTCGAAAAAGATGTCATGGAAACATATATCAAGCTATAAGATCATTTTCTGTAATAAAGAAACAGTCAAGATTGCATGGTTCATTTTCTTTCTCAAAAGATCTTAACTAAATTTTGACAAGATGAAGACCATCCAGTTTCTTTTTCCACCTTACATACGATCCTTACATTTGTTAGTGCAGATTTGGTGCTCTCAGGGGAGAGTCCTACGCAACATTAAGTGTTCTTGGTTGAGCTTGGTTAGCTCACCTAAAACATGTAATAGATGAAGTAAAAAACGGGTCGTTCTTTGAGACTACCTTTGAGCCTTTTCCATTGGTAACATTTGGACGCATCGTGCGAGACCAAACTATTCAATATCAATTGCCAAGTGCAATTTATGCATGCAACATTTGACAACTGTCGATGAAGATGACGACCACACTATAAACAATCTATGATTTCGAAGCACTTCTAACAAGAAAATTGTGTTTTAAAAACAAAAAGAAAAGAACCTCGATGTCTCTGGAGAGCTCAGACTCAAGGCGCTTGACGAGATCTTCCTCGTAGAGTTGCTCATAGGCTTGCCTGATCTGCTTCCTCTGTGCTGCATTTCTTTGTCCCAGCACTTTTATGGTCGCCTTCTCATTCGTTCCCCACCCTAATTTCATTGCCCAAATATAGGAAAAGAATGATTGATGAGCCTTTCAACAGCTTAAAATCATAGCAAATCTCGACAAGTACACGAACACATAAATAGAAGTTGGATATATGTATCAATAGATAGAGAGAGAGAGAGAGATTCAAACCTTCAAAAGCCTTTCTTAGAGTTTC